AAACAGTTGCATTCAAAACAGTTGCATAATTTATTTTATTTGGCTCCCAATGAGCTTGAAGAAGACATTTTATATTAAGGATTTTACTCTTAAGCCATTGCTTTTGTTAACACAGGAACTGGGACAGGCATGTAATAAGAACTTTGGATATTTCTAGAAGTAATGAATAGAACATCATGTTGGTACAAATGAGAAAAGTTACCACGAAAAGAATGATTCCAGTCTTACTTAAATTCTTCACTTCATCCTTGTTTTAGGCCTCAAAAACAAGGCTGAAAACATCTGGGGCAAAGGATATTGATTTTTTTTTTTTTTTTTTGTCTTCCATGAATGCGACTTACCTTGGTTTTACATGCAAAGGGGCTTAGTAAATCTTTATAATGGATGATTATGCAGAAGCCGTCATTTACAGCCTGTTTTACTCTTCAGGGAACTTGAAAATAATTACAAAAAGACTAAATTTTAATGTGATTTTTCAAGTAACAAAAACATATAAAGAAGTATTTTATGAGTCTGCTTGTTTCTCTAAGCTTCTGACATGGTCTTAGTATCTTAATGTAGACAGGCTAGCTTCCAAATAGAGTAATAGAGTATCTACTGACTACTGAAGAATTTTTGCCTCTGCAAACTATGAGACTTTTTCAAATGGATCAAGTTTCAGTTGTTTAATGGAGAGCCAGGGAAATAGGATTTAGTAGTTCTATGCCCTGGCACAGGATTTCAAAATGACCAGGGCATACAAAGGAAGACATTTTGCCTGGAAAACAATAATTTCTTGAGGTCTTAAGCTACCCCTTAGACTAAATGTATCATCTCAAGAATATCATAGCAAGAAAGTTGCATATGAATAATAGCCTTAAAGTCACATTCAAGGCCATGCAGCATAAAGGGATCTCCTAGGGAGATTTTTTCTGTTTTTTTTTTTTTTTTGTCTTCCAATTTCAAAGTTGGCAAGAAGCTTTACCTTTTTTGGTGTTTATAGGAAAGAATATGTGCAATATAGCAATATAGGTAGCAGTGTGTATCATTTTTCTTTTCATAAATATGTGGGATTAATCTGAAATAAAAGAAAGCTCAGGCATTTTCTTGAAATATAATTAAATTCATGAATATGAAATAAATGAGCAATCAAAAATAAAATATTATAAGTAGTAGTTAATCTCAATACCTTGATATTGAGGAAGAATCAAATAAGAAATAGATTCTGTACACTAAAAGATGATTTGCTTTGTATTTTCTATACCACTAAAGCCCATAATTTTGAGCTTTATTTTAGACTACGAAGTACCCAGTACTTAACATTCAAATTTAGGCTGTAAGATTCAAATGTGAACACAGAGGGGGAAAACCTCCACTTCATCAAAGGAAGCTCAGAGACCAGAAAGGGCACAAACACTTTCTCAGACATTACCTGGAAGAGCTTGGAGATGAAAGAGCGATAGCTTAAAGAATTATATCTATAAAGTTGTTTCTTCACAAAATTATGATACCAGAAAATTATCAGTGACCAATGTCTCCATTGACAAAAGAAAAAGATTAAAGAGCCATTACAATAAGCCAGCCATGTGAAAGGGTTTAACTTATATTCATCCTAAGATAATTAGTTTATGGTTTGCTGAGGGCATATCAATTGTTTTGTAATCCCACAGAAAAATCATTTAAAGATAATTGGGAAAAAACGTAGTGAAAGGAGAGTTTGAACCTTGCAGAAAATGCTATGTAATAATGAAAACCTTTAAAACAGACAGCCACTTCGCCATTTTTTAAAACGAGTCATTTGCTTCAAGATTGATATCTGTCTATGCCATTTTAAACTATGTGTAGGTATGAAGCTTCCAAAAGATTTCTACATAATCAACTGAAGCCTCAAAAAAGAATTAGAAAGTCTCTATATTGACTTCTTTTTTTCTCCTTGAATGCATTTTATCATTTAAAAACTAGAGTATTTTTTTCTTTAAAATGGATACAAGTATGCAAGAACTTAAAATTCTTTTTCTTCTGGTCTAAATAAAAATATAAATTGCCAATGAATATGGATCTAGAAGATATGTTTTCTCTTTGGTCCAAATAATGACAGAAATCACCAATCATTGTTACATACAGGTCATATTAATGTTTTACTATATATAAAAGTAAAATAAGGTTATAATGTACAGATAAGTCAAATTATTTTTAATTAAAAGACATTACCTAGAAGTAAATAGTTGGTTTACAATATAATAATCAGAAGAAGAAAAGTGATGAAAGAGGGAAAGCTCAAGGTGAGAAAAGTGTCATAACATTTTATGTATGTGGATCATATTTTGGAACAGAAAGGAGAGAGGATCACACAGAATTCAACTTCTTACATCATTCTTTGGACTGTCTTTTATTCTATAATATGGTAGAACTCATAGTTTTCCAAATTTGCTTAGATTTTGGCTATATTTTTTCATTTAGCATTCTTCTTATTTGACAAATAACTGCATTGAGTCACAGCAATCTCCCTCCAATAGTGCAGGAAACACAAGATTCAGTCAAAAATTGCGATGTTCATTGCATCCAATGAGATGGGAAAGTCTTTCAAGAATCCTGTCATTTAGGTTTTGAGTAAACATAGGTACATCTATTGCAATCATCAAGTAATTTGTTCATAGAGTAAAACAGAATAGCCAATTATATTTCTATCATATAACACATGTCCCCTTAAGTTCAAGAATATAAAAATGAAGCAGGGAAAATTTCTTGCAAAAAAATTTGCTTGTAAAATATTTAAGCCTCAGTTTTTTTTTTTCTTTTTTTGTTTTTGGTGGTGGTGGTGGCCCTGGGGATGGGGTAGGGGGTTGAATTTGCTATCTTGTCAACTGTACAGTTTTTATGACAAGATTGGAGAAATCCGCTTATCTTCCAGAAAGCAGGGTCAGACTGGACATTCTTCTCAGTTACTACAGAGATCAAGGGATCACACCCTGGGTTCCATGGGTTGAGTAGGCCTTTTTTTTTTTTTTTTTTTTTTTTTTTTGTAATATTTGTTTATTTAGTTGAAAGGCCGAGCAACAGAGACAGTGACAGAGAAGCAGAGGAAGAACCAGGTAAAAAGAGATGTTTCAACTGTTTGTTTACTCCCCAACTGGCCTCAGTAGCCAAATCTGGGCCAAGCAGAAGCAAGGAGCCAGGGACTCCAACCTGGTGACGGGGCTCCAGGATCCAATGCCTTCCCAATTGCATTAGCAGGAAGCTGGATCTCATGGGGTCTAGCTAAGACTTGACACAGGTACTCCCCTCACATGCTGGCCCCTGCTTGGTCTTTTTTTTTTTTTTTAGATTTTTTACTTATTTATTTGACAGGTAGAGTTTACAGATAGTGAGAGAGAGAAAGAGAGAGAGAGAGAGGGAGAGGGAGAGGGAGAGGGAGAGAGAGAGAGAGAGAGAGAGAAAGGTCCTCCTTCCATTGATTCATTCTCCAAATGGCCACAACGGCCAGAGCTGCACCGATCCAAAGCCAGGAGCCAGGCGTTTCCTCCTGGTCTCCCATGCAGGTGCAGGAGCCCAAGCACTTGGGCCATCCTCCACTGCCCTCTCGGGCCACAGCAGAGAGCCGGACTGAAAGAGGAGCAACAGAGACTAGAACCAGTGCCCATATGGGATGCCAGCGCCGCAGAGGATTAACCTAGTGTGCCATGGCACTGGCCCTCCTGATTGGTCTTAATTGTCCTTAACAGACCACAAACTTCTCTCTACCCAGAATTCTAAAGATGCATAACTGCCCTTCTCATATTAAAAGTAAGCAATGGATCACTAAATATATTCTTGAGAAACTTCCAACAGTCTTAACAAGAACTAGAAGAAACAGAATTTTCAGCTACAAAGAGAATGTTAAGGGAGTAGCAATACATTATGAAAATAAACTGTTACTTTTGTAATTTAAGTATATGGTCATAAATCTTTTTGGGTCACAATACAGTGTATTGAAAAGTGCCTAATTTTGTATATTTATGAGTTGAAGAGGTGCTGAAGAGCCAACAATAAATGAATAGAACAGTAACAAAATCAATATGAATATTGATTTCCTGACCTTCTTTTGGGAGCCTTTCAGTACATTTTTCCCATTTTTGTCAGGTTTAAATATTTCCTTGAAGATTTTCATCAGGTTTTCTTTAATGGTCTAACTCGAAATACCTTTTCAAATGGACAGCTCTCATTACTAAATATCCCTTCTACCAGTGGCCTGGATAAAACATATGAAGATGTGTTTGTTGCAGCTATAGAGCATACCTATTTACATATTTACTTATTTTGTTTTATTTTTAGGGAGTCTGATTATGTTTAGCTCAATGTCAGAAAATGGCTTGTACTAAAGCTCTCCTTTGGATTTTTTTAGTTTTGTTCAAAAGCAAAAATGTAGATATGTAATACACATATTCATGTATCTATGCATATGGCATTCGATAAAGTTCACTCTTAAATCAGTATACACCATGACTGATGTATTCCGGTTAAACTTCAGCAGCGGAAAATAAAAGCAGTCACTGAAAGGGCTTGGTTATTTCCCCAACTCCTTGTCTGCCAGGACAAGGAGTTCTGTCCATCAGGCTGTAGGAACAGATGCTGCTAACCAGTATCATCAGTTCTATCTCAAAGGTCTACTGGTCAGAGATATGGACCGTCTTGAACACTAAAGAAAACTAAATTAGGCAAGTATATATACTCTCGAGACAGAAAATAATCCAGAATGAGAAGTAAACTACATCAGTAAAAGAGATCGAGTTATGCTAATAACAGAGTAAACAATAACATGTTAACACTACTCTTAAGAAGATAGCATCCCCGGAGAGACAATTCCTGTGCTTAAAAAAATTAGCACTCACATGCACAAGATAAGGCTTAGGAAGTAAGTCATACACTGGGGTTATCTACTGCATGCCTTATTTGTTTTGGGATGTGCTACAGAACCAAGTGGTCAGATCAAGGTAGGGAAGGGATCAGCTGCAAAATTTCAGAATCATAGCTTCCTCTCTTACCTTCCACTGAGGAGGAAGCCGATAACCACTGCCAACAAAATGACTCCCACTGTCACGGACACAGCAATTATAGGAATCTGGCTTTGATCGCTGGATGCTGCAACTGCTGATAGGAGACACAGAAAATGGAGCTTGTGGTTAAAGTGATCATCTGCATTCAAAATAAAAGCTGCTTAATAGCTGGCAATCAAGTCATGGTCCCAGCCCTTCACCCACACACGGCTGAGATTCCCCCCTAATATCTTTTCTCAAAAGTATGTAATTGAAAAGTCATCTTTAGGAGAAAATATTTACACTTCAAATAGAAATGCAAAACCATCACTAAATTCAGTGATAATTTCTTTGTCTTCACAAAAAAATGAATGCATATTATTTTCACAGTATCCATCTAGCAGCCTTAGGTTTGCAAGATACAATGGGACATCCTGCTTGGCTTGAAATACCTTTAACCAAGAAGGAGGTGTTAGGTATGTAAGATTTCACAATTTTAGAGTTTGCATGCTGTTGTTGTCTAGAAAAAAAAGAATGTGATTAATTCAGATGGGATTTTTTCCCCCAGAGACATAGCTTGAAGTCTAAAATAATGGGGCTATGAACTCATTGAAGTTCAATATAATATCACTGTTCTGAATATAATTTAAAAGAAAACACAATTTTAAGCAGAATATAATCAGTGAGTGAGATCATTTTTTGAAAAACATCAAGGCATATATTTCCAAGTTCAAGATGTCTGCAGTTAGATTACATTCATTTTTATTACATTTTATTAAAAAAGCACATGGATTTAGATAAAATATTTATATTTTAATAACATAATTTCTATGATAAGAGAAACATGGACATGATTATCTGTACCTAAATAAGCAAATATATGTTTCACTTGTATTAATAACTAACCCTGATTAAAATAAGAAATCTCTAGTGCATAATACATTTTACTAATAGCCTCAAGAATTCTTTAAGACAATTCCTATGTATTTCCTGTTTAAGACATACTCACTTGGAAAAATCGAGAAAATTGCTAGTTCACCTCCATGACACCAAATTTTAAGGAAGCAAAACTAAGAACACATTCTCCGTGCTTTGCTTTTATGCCTTGCCAAATTTGGGCCCAAAAAGAGTTTTGGATTTCACATTTCCCTTTTATTTTGATCACCTTGTCCTTAATTCATCTTTAATCATTAAGATATATTAATTTGTTGGAAAGGCAAAGAAGGGGAGAGAGAGAGAGAGAGAGAGAGATTTTCTGTTAGCTCATTCTCCAAAAGCCCACAACAGCCAGGACTGGGCCAAGCAGAAGCAGGGAGCCTGGAAATCCATGCAGGTCTCCCAAGTGTGTGGCAGGAACCAAAATACTTGGACCATCAGATGCTGCCTCCCAGGCACATTAGCAGGAAGCTGCACTGGAAGCGTGCAGCAATGGGTCCCTGCGCCAGGCACTCTGATACGGAACGCTGGCAGCCCAAAGAGCAACCTCACCTGCTGGGCCACAATGCCCACCCCCTTAATTGACAACATCCAAAATGGACTCATTCTCTGGCCACTTTTTTGCCTTCAGAACCCAATACTATGGACAACAAGTTTGAATGGAACTATGATCCATCAACCTGTATTCTTACTTTCTGGGTGATAACATTTACAACTCAGTAATCCTTCACCCCGATTTCTCCTATTCGATGATGCTACAGTCTATGGTAAGGAATTTAGTTACTGCGTACAGTGGAAATGGGGTGCGGGAAAAACTACCCCTCAGGCACAGTAGCCTTCACTAAGATTTGCTTTATTAATCTCTAAACTCAGACCACTTCTCTCCCTGCTTTTTCTCAATTATTTTTCTTTTTTGGCAGAAGGCACCTTTCTGGAAAAAACCATGCAGACTTGGCCTACAGAAGTTTGGTGTTGCTGGTGCTGCGGCTCAATAGGCAAATCCTCCGCCTTGCAGCGCCGGCACACCGGGTTCTAGTCCCGGTTGGGGTGCTGGATTCTGTCCCGGTTGCCCCTCTTCCAGGCCAGCCCTCTGCTATGGCCCAGGAGTGCAGTGGAGGATGGCCCAAGTGCTTGGGCCCTGCACCCCATGGGAGACCAGGAGAAGCACCTGGCTCCTGCCTTCGGATCAGCACGGTGCGCCGGCCGCAACGGCCATTGTAGGGTGAACCAACGGCAAAAGGAAGACCTTTCTCTCTGTCTCTCTCTCTCTCTCACTGTCCACTCTGCCTGTCAAGAAAAAAAAAAAAAGTTTGGTGTTATTTTGAATGGGTTCTAACTGTTGCATGGAAGCCTCTGAACCTCCTTATTAAGTAAAAAAATTATCTCCCTAAAATCTTTTCTCATTTTCTCAATGCACTAATCCATTCCACTCCCCTTGTTTAGAAATGCAACATTTGATAGATAAAAGTGAGTGGCGGCCTGTACTGTGGCATACTGGGCTAAGCCTCTGCCTGCAGCACACCGACATCCCATATGGGTACTGATTCAGTTCCCACCTGCTCCTCTTCTGATCCAGCTTTCCAATAATGGCTGGAGAAAGCACAGAGGATGGCCCAAGTGCTTGGACCCCTGCACCCATGTGGGAGACCTGGAAGAAGCTCCTGGCTCCTGCCTTCAGCCTGGCCCAGTTCAGGCTGTTGCGGCCATTTGGGGAGTGAACCAACAGATGGAAGACCTTTTTCTCTGTCTCTCCCTCTCTCTGTCTGTAATTCTACCTCTCAAATAAATGATAAAATATAAAGTAAATAAATAAAAGTTACTGGTGGTGGCCTCTGACACCATTGTTAAAACCCCTTTGGCCTGTGCTGAGACCCTGCTTCTTCAAATATCCTCCAAAATTTAAAAAAAAAAGAAAGAAAACAGAAAAAAAGAAATGCCACTGTGCCACACTATTGTTGCAAATCTAGTTTGGTGAAATTCTGTTTTCATCTTTGTCAACAAGTTCCTTAGAATGATGTACTACTATAGTTTTAATCATGTTATTATTTTAAAATTTATTGTATTGGTAAAAAAATTAAAGAAACAAACAAAAGCCTCCCTTCAGAAGAGATTTTTGTTCCCTGACAGGCTGCTTCTGTGCTACGTACAAGCCTTTGGGGAAAAAGAAATGCTTATACTTCAATCTACTGGCATTATTTCAACCTGATTAGAAATCAGGACCAACATTTTATAGACACAAGGGCCAAGAAAATTGTATAACCTTTTAAGATCGCATTCCTTTACTTTTCAAAGAGGGATAATTTCCCTTGACCATTGTATTTCTGTTAAGATCAGCAATTATATATAAAAAGCAATTAGCAGAGTGCTTCAACTACTGCCAACTTTAAATAAATAGCATCAGCTCCTAGTTTATTTACTATTATTATTTGTCAGCCTCCTGTCTGGGTTACATGGAACCTGCCCTGTCCTCTGATGGCCAGCATTATTAAATTCTCTCTGAAACTTTTCTTTTCTGCTTTGGATTCCAAGGATGATATGCTATTCACTAAATGGAGTAAGTACTTCTACATTCATCTTACCTTGCACAATAGTAAGGAATCTGACCTTGGTGAACCTATACCTCATCCTGGAAGCTATTTGCTTCCTATGATATCAGACAACACGTTTTCTCTTTTTCCTCTCCTGAAGTGGTGCTTTGTCAGCTCTGCTGGATCCACATTCTCTTCCAATGTCTTCGATGTGATTCTTGGTGAGTGCTCACCCCTGATCTTCCTCACTTCTCCCCTGCCTTTCTGCTTTTGCTCCTTCCTTAACTTTCTTCCTCCCTCTCATGGATACTTCTTTGCTTGTGACAAAATAACTGTCAGCTGCTGTACTCTAACAATTATTTCTCTCCAAGCACCACTTTTTTTTTTTTAAAAAATAACAGACTGTTTTCCCCTTTATTGGGATTTTATTGTCACATAAAACCAAACTTTTAAAACTGACCCTTATACCACATCCACCGTCAAGGGCATTAACAAAACACATCAAAAAATGAACATACCATAAATCAAGCCAATAATCAAAACTGACTTGACATCTTTCTGGTTTCTTTTAGCAACCATTGAGTCTTTCTTAACCGTTACTCCCCCATGAATTACTTAAATATTTTTCTGTTTCCTTTTCCCCCTATATATCACTTCCTTTCATCCAATAATCATGCATTTGATTAAAATGTATACAATCATAATCACTTTATAAGTACTGTCAAATAACAAACATTCATGTTTCTATGTCTTTATCTAATGCACATTGAAATCAAGTCTTTTTTTGGTAGGACAGTCAAATAAATCATGGAATTAGGAGAACTTAAGGAATACATTTTTATTTTTCTTTAAATTTTGCAGCATTTTCTAAGTTCTTTGCTAGCTTTTATCATTGACTATTTCACATTCACTGATTAATGTGATTTCTAATAGCAATTATTTACACAGATTTTGTATTATTTACTCCTAGTTTGTCTTCAGAGCATAAAGAGTATCATTCATTGTATTAATTAAGATGGCAACAGAGACTTTATATGGCTGTCAGTGCTTCATGCTTGCTCATTCATTACTAGTGGGATAAAACGGAGGCCCAGCATGACCTATGTTTATCATTGAACACATTCTAAACTTGTAATCCATAGGAATATGAATCTTTAGGCACCCTTTTATCCAGATTTCTTCTGTACTTAAAACAATTCGTTGAGAGAGTTGATATTGTCTTGGAAAAATAGTTGAGCAGTAGCTCCTGAAGACTGAAAAGCCAAGTTTAAAGCAATGGTAACACAATTACAGAAACTATTCTAGTATCCTTAACATATTACATTTAAGGATTTATTTTTTATTTTTTATTTTTTGACAGGCAGAGTGGACAGTGAGAGAGAGAGGCAGAGAGAAAGGTCCTCCTTTGCCGTTGGTCCACCCTCCAATGGCCGCCACGGCCAGCGCGCTGCGGCCAGCGCACCGCGCTGATCCGATGGCAGGAGCCAGGTACTTCTCCTGGTCTCCCATGGGGTGCAGGGCCCAAGCACTTGGGCCATCCTCCACTGCATTCCCTGGCCACAGCAGAGAGCTGGCCTGGAAGAGGGGCAACCGGGACAGAATCCAGTGCACCGACCGGGACTAGAACCCGGTGTGCCGGCGCCGCAAG